GGTGAGGTTTTCTCCCATGGGTCAACTGGTTTGGATTTGCATTGCTGGACAGAGCTGCCTGCCCCATCTGTAGCCTTGAAAATTCCCCAGTGTCCTTCCACAGGCAGTTCACAAATGAATGTGTAAATCTCGGAGGGAATCAGATGCCCCGGGGAAAATGGTCCAAAGGTTTGGGCCCTGGTACCTATGTGGGAGACCCGGAGGAAGCTCCTGGCTCCTAGCTTTGGTCTAGCCATTGTGGCCATTTGGGACATGAACCAGCACATGGAGCATCTCTCTCTTCCTCTCTGTAAATCAACCTTTCAAATAAATAAATCCAGCACTTCCTGAACTGCTGCCTGGGCCTCCACCCCTAATGTGTTCCATCAGTCATCCTGGGCGCTAGCCTGGCGGTGACCGCTCCCTGGAGTCCACACATCTGCCAGAGTCCATCCTGGCTGCCAAGGCCTGGGAGCTCTGACACCATGCAGCCTGTGTGGGAGCCAGGATTTGAATCCCAGTCCTGGCTCCGCATCTTGAGTGAGCTCTTTTATTCCCCTATCTCACAGGTGGGGCACCTGCCTCCTGGAATTCCTAAGACGTAATCAGGTGTTTGTTAGTGTCTGTCAGGGTCGCTCTGTGAGCATCAGATCAGCTTGTAAGACCCTTGACCTCTGACCCTCCATCACCCCAGAAGGCTGACATGCAGAGCAACGCATTCCTTCATAACAAGCCCTAAGACCATGCCCAGCGTGGAGCTGGCTCAGCACACACTGGCTGCTGGTTTTGCCCACCCCCCCCCCCCCCCCCCCCCCCCCCCCCCGCCCAGCCAGTGACTAGCTAAAATGTCACTGCTTGAACTGTTTCTGCTGCAGGGTCTCTATCCAGTATTCACTCACCACAAGCCCTTACCCCACTTCCTGATTCAGTGAAGACACCCCAGAAAGAGTGATCGGGCAGTGATGCGTTTGCAGTGAGGAAATCGTATCTAAAACCTGAGCCAGGGAACAGGCAGCTTGTGTTTCAGGTGGAAATTACTGCGCTGGAGGGGACATTCTTGTCATTGTAAACAAGGGCAGGTACGGGTTCATAGGGCGTCCAGTCAGCCTCGTGTGCCAACCACCATTGTATGTCCCACCTCCACTGGGGTGGAGACCGGAGTGCCAAAACTAAGTGAAGAGGGAGCGTGCTTGGCGTCACAGTTAAGACACCGTGTGCGACCCCTGCTTCCCGTGTGAGAGCACCTGGTCAGCATCCTGGCTCTGCTCCAGATCCAGCTTCCTGCCAGTGCACACCCTGGGAGGCACGCAAGTCGCTGCCACCCTCCAGAAGGCCTGGGTTGAGTTCTGGGTTCCTGGTTTCACCCTGGCCCAGCCTCTGGCTGTTAGGGATGTTCGGAGAATAAGGCAGCAGAAGGAAGATCTCTACCTGTCTCTCTTTCTCTGTATCCTTTTCAAATAGAATGAAATTCCCTTTTTCACTGGGTGGTTTTTTAGACCTCCCCGTGCTCCTGCCATTCCATCCAGGGGCTGGTGTTGGCACTTGTTCCTGAAAGACAACTTTGCAAGCCATCGGATGAAACGAGCCACCACAACCACAACAAAGAGTTTCTGCCTCCCAGGATGGGGGGAGGGGTGAGTTAACGTGCAGGTCAGTGAGTCCTCACTGAGGGCTGGGACACACTCTACAAGTAGGCTCCGCCTACTGCTCCAGGCCATGGGGCGGGGACAGGTTGCTACTAACCCAGCTGCCTCAAGGCCTCCCATGCAGAGCTCCTGGGGAAAGGGACCAGCAGGTAAGTGGGCAGAGCCTGGCAGCTGCCAGCCGGGGCTGGGAGGGCACAGTTGCAACCACCTGGGGGCATAGGACAGTGACACTGAGCACCTGCCTTGGAGAACGAACCAGCGTGGACTTTACCCAAGTTGCAGCTTGCCGGCTCAGCAGCAGACGCACAGCCTGGTGATCAGGGCTGCCTGTGCACCTGGTCGGCAAGTTGGGCTGGAGTTGGGTCAGGCAGGCTGAGCCAGCTCACTGGGCTCGCACTGAACATTGCTCGGTTGTACCTCCACGCTGCGGCCGCCCCTGCCACACTGGGGCAAGAGCCAGGAAGGGGATGGCCTGGGGGAGGCTGCTCCATCAAGGTCAGCATAGGGAGGGTGGCGAGGAGAGACTCCCCGCCCCAGCTCCTGTTATCTCCTCCTTTCCTCCCTGCTGAGGGTAGCTGAGCTTGCCTGGGCCATCCCAGCCTTTCAGAGACAGTAAACTCCAGGCTCAGAGAGGGTGAGCGGGCTGCTAAGTCACACAGCCCAGGAGCACAGGTCTGTCTGAGGATGGGATGAGCAAGGAGCCACCCGTCCCTGCCACCTGCACCTGGTTAGGAAGAGGTCAGCACAGGGAGAGCTGGGGCAACTGCTGGCTGTGTAGGGATGTCGGTGGTGGGCCAGACCCTCCCTTGTCCCACGTGCTGCTTTGTCCCCATCTCTGTCCCTCCGTCTTTCCTTCCAGTCTTCAACCCACAGGACCCGTGGCGGGGGTAGGGGTGCTTCTCCAGGAGGCTGGGACCCCGGGCACAGTGATACACAAAGCAGCATGTGTCCCATGCCCAGGCTGCAGCTGGCACTGTGCTGCGTGACTGAGCAGGCTCCCTGCAGGCTAGCCCAGGGGCTTGGTGCCTGCCAGCTGCCAGCTTGTTCCTTCAGGGCCAGCCCTGGATGGGGGTTGGGGAGAGGGGGTCAGGTGGTCCAGCCCTCCACAAAGCAGATGGCCACCTGGGCACGGGATGGCAGGGAGGGCACATGGGGTTCACCCTCCCTCGGGAGAACACAGTGCTCACCAGATAAGCCCCTGAAACCAAGCTGTGCTGATAACGCCAGCAAGATGTGAAGTCGGCAGCGCTGGGAGTGGAAGCTGCTAGAGCGCCAATGGCCAAGGTCAGGCAGGTAGGGAAGGGCATGGCCCAGCCCTCACTCTAGGGTGGACAGAGCCCTGCGTTCTTTTTGAGGGGCCTAGAACCCTCAGTTTTAGCCTCCAGTTGTGAGGCAAGAACGCAGGAGACTCCAGCCCCACACAGTACAGGGCAGCTCCACTAGCTCACACAAAGCCTTCATTACAGAAGGCCCTGCGGGCTGCCTTGGAGCCTTTTGTAGCATTTATTTATGAATTTATTTATGTATTTGAAAGACAGAGTGACAGGGAGGGAGAGAGCTTCCCACCACCAGGCCACTTCCCCAAAAGGCCATAAGGGTCAAGATTGGGCTTGGAGACTTTCCCAGAGTGGCCTGGGGGAGATGCTCAGGGCAGACCCTGCTGCCTCATCAGACCATCACCCTGAGGCATAGTCCACAGATTGGCTGTTCGACCTCTGTTGCCTTATCTGTAAAATGAATGCAACCATGATGCCCATGTAGTCATCATGGTGTGTGTGTTTGTTTGCACGCCAGGAGAGGGTAGCCATTGTTGCTGCTGTTATCCTAGTGCTTCCCCAAGGATGTTGCAGCAGTTCCGATACCAGGGACACCCCCTCTTCTTCCCTGGACCTCACAGGGCACATGTTTAAAAATTAAATGAGAGCAGGTGTGGAGGGGCCATGTGGAGCTCTCCCCCAGCCCCAGGCTGCCTGCCTTATCCTGCCTTATCTTGCCACAGCCAAAATGGCTTCCTGGCTGCTCTTTGAACAGCTGAATCTCATATCTTGCCCTGGGACTTGACAGATGAGGCCCCGCCTCCCAGGATGGGATGGGACAGGAATTTCCAGTCCGTTCTTATCTCGTGGCAGGCAGCTAGAAATGACAACATGGACAGGGCAGGTGGGCTGCGGGGAGTAGGCAGGCACCAAGGTAGGTTCTGTGGCGAAACAGGGAGAGCCGCAGGGGCAGCTGAGCATGGGGTTTCAGAGGGGACACTTGTCAGTCAATCCTGACGCCAGGGACTGGCCTGTGTGTGCCCTGCCCTCCTGGACGTGATCACAGCTACAGATCCGTTCACAGATGTTCAGCTCACTAGCTTGCAAGCCACCGAGCAGTGTAAGCAAAGAGAACTTTATTGTTGACCTGATCAGAATGGAATGCTGAGGTAGCTGCTTTGTGATGTGACCTGGTCTGGCACCTTTCAGTGCTTTATGGGCCCCTTGTCTTCCCGATTATCCATCTGTCATCTCCTGAGGCAGCGCCTGTGTCTGCCAGGTGGACACTGAGCTGTGCCCCAGGGGCTGCTTTACCGGCACCTGGCTCCTGGCCCCTGCTGGATCCCTCCCCACCCCTCACTCCAGGCCCTTCGCACTCACCACTGCCTCCTCCCCAAGTCCCTGCTTCCTCAGATATGTCCTTCCTTGCTGTCCTCGGAAAGCCTGCTTTCTGCCCACGGCCAAGAGCAGAGAGCACTGGCCAGTGCACAGTGGCAGCGTGATGGAGCAGGAGCCAGCATCCCTGAGAGAGAAAACACAGAGTTCTAGGCCTCTATCCCAAGTGGCCACCCACAGCTTCACCTTCACCCCTCCCCGGCACCTCATTTGCTTTCCTCTGAAACAGCGGGCATTTGCCTAGCCTGTCTCTCCACTTTGTCCCTACAGGCTGCTTCTCACTGTGTCCCAAGGACCAGGAGCAAGAGTGTTTAGGAGGTTGAGTGATGCCAGGCAGGGGACTTAGACCAAGTCATTCCCTTCAACCCACACACAGCTGTGGTAGGGCCCACACAGGCACCCAAGGAGCTTGGCTCCCACGGGGTGGGTGTTTAGGCTTGTGGTGCTGGCGTCCAGTGGCCATCGGGGATTCTGCAGGAGAGTTACCAGGGCTTGTCAATGTGTAAGTGACTGTCCAGCTGGAGTTGCCTAGGAGCCCCCTTCCAGCTAATAAATTCATTCACAGGAAGTAAGGCAGGGGGTGATAAGAGAAAACCTAGGGCCCCCAAGCAGTCTCCTGGCTAAGCAGTGGGCTTAGAGTCACTCATGGGGATCCCTCTCTGTCAGTCCCCCTTCAGGCTGAGCCAGGGTGGCTGAAGCCACTGGCCCCCAGGAGGATACCACCATGGCCGTGCTCACACACCTGCTGGTTTGCATCTTTGGCATGGGCTCCTGGGTGGCCATCAACGGTCTGTGGGTGGAGCTGCCGCTGCTGGTGACAGAGCTGCCTGAAGGCTGGAACCTGCCCTCCTACCTCACCGTGGTCATCCAGCTGGCCAACATCGGGCCGCTGCTGGTCAGCCTGCTGCATCGCTTCCGGCCTGGCTGCCTCTCGGAGGTTCCTGTGATCTTCACTGTGCTGGGGGTGGGCACCCTGGCCTGTCTGCTCATCGCCTTCCTCTGGAACATGACCTCCTGGCTGCAGGGCGGCCAGCACAGCGTCGCCTTCGTGGTCCTCACCTTCTTCCTGGCCCTGGTGGACTGCACCTCCTCCGTCACCTTCCTGCCCTTCATGAGCCGCCTGCCCTCCTACTATCTCACCACCTTCTTCGTGGGCGAAGGACTCAGCGGCCTCCTGCCTGCCCTGGTTGCTCTGGCCCAGGGCTCAGGGCTCACTGTCTGCGTCAATGTCACAGACAAGCCGGGCACTGCCGAGGACGGCAGCATCACGCAGGTACCCAGCGTGGCCCAGAGCCACGGCACATCCACTTCCCTCTACCTCTGCAGAGTGCTCTGTGGCTGGCCTAGGACACAAAATGACCTAAAGCACATCAGCCTCAGAAACACCATTTGAAAAAGTTTTATTTCCTTTTCATTTTATTTGAAAGGCAGAAAGATGTAGAGGGAACCAGAGCATCCATCCATTCCTGCAATAGCGGGAGCAGGGCCAGGCTGAAAGCAGGGACCCAGGACTCAGCCTGGCTCTCTCCCACATGGGTGACAGGGACCCAGGCACCCAGGCCGTCACCTGCTGCCTGCCAGGGTCTACATTGCCAGGAAGCTGCCTTGGAAGTGGAGTCTGGACTCCAATACAGGATGCAGGTTGCAGGGCTCCTAAGGGGCATGTTAAGTGCTGCTCCAAATGCCCAACCCCGGTAAAGCTGTGTGAGTAATATGTGAGCCCAACGAGAATGTGAGATGCCAAGAAGAGCAGATGATGGAAGCTTAGCACCCTATGCTACAGAAAAAAAAAAAAAATGGAGTAAGGGGACAGGGGGGCCGGTAACAGGGTAGTAGACTAAACCTCTGCCTGCAGTGTTGGCATCCCATATGAGCATCACCGGTTCAAGTTCCAGATGCTCCACTTCCAGTCCAGCTCCCTAGGATCACAGCAGACGATAGTCCAGGTCCTTGGGCCCCTGCACCCATGTAGGAGACCTGGAAGAAGCTCCGGGCTCCTGGCTTCAGACCAGCCCAGCTCTGGCTGTTGTGGTTATTTGAGGGAGGGGATTTCAGTGGATGTAATAGTAATAAGGTCTCTCTCTCTCTTTCTAAATCTGCTTTTCAAATAAAAATAATAAAATAAAACTGTAGGGGAAAAAAGGAACAAAGGCCTGGAGATTTTGCAGGGTGGTGGGATTCCAGGAGACAGAAGGGAGGAGGGGGCAGTACGTGGCACCCTTCTGTGCAGATGCAAGCATGCCAGTGATAAAATGTTGCCCACTTTCTCCTCCAGGCGCAGGAGCATTTCCTTTAGGGAATTTCCTTTGCAAAAGGCCAGCTTGGCAGAGCTGCTCCTGAGTCGGCAATTTCTCAAAATAACCAGCCGCAAGTCTCCTATGTGCCCCAAGTCGATTCTGGGGCAGTGCATCCCATTCTGGCAGTCTTTCGACGCCTGGCACATTTGCTGGGGCCAGGGGGTGTGTCCCCACACAGGAGGGAACAAGTGAGCCCCTGCAGAGGGGCCCTGTTCCCAGACAGCTCCTGGCCTGGGGGGAGCCTCTGAAACCAACCAGCCCCGCCTCCAGGCCTGTCCGTTTCTGAGGGTTAGGGGTTCCCGGAAATCCTTGGGGCCAGAGTTTGCTCCAGAATCTGCAGGTTCCTTCATCTATTGATGTCTGTAAGGCATAGAGACCTTGGAGATCTGCAGGCTCGCTCCCCAGAGGCCGGAAGCAGCCAGGGCTGCAACCCAAGCCTGGGCTGCTGGTGATGGATGGTGTAGACAGTGAAGATGCTGGGGCAAGGAGGGGGCTGGGCAGTGTGTTTCTGGAATGTTCCCTCAGGGATCTAGGGACTCTGCATTCATCTCCTTCCCAGCTCTCCTGTCTGATCCCACAGTTGTCCGTTCATCCAAACTACCAGCTTGTGTCGTGCGGTGCCCCACAGGTCAGCCTGAGCCTGCCTTTCTCTCCCCAGGGAGCCAACAGCACCTTTGCCCCGCCCGGGGACTCCGGCAGCCACCTGCAGAGCCGCTACCTGGCAGCTCGCTTCCCGCCCCTGGTCTTCTTCCTGCTGCTCTCTTTTATGATGCTGTGTTGCCTCGTCGCCTTCTTCCTCCTCCAGCGCTGGCCCCGGGGCCATGAGGCCTCTACCGAAGACCTCCTCAGCTCCCAGGTCACCCTGCATGCCATCCGGACGCCGGATGAGAAACCCCCAACCCCCCTAGGCCCAGCAGACAGCAGCAAGGGTCAGGGGCACACGGAGGAGGAGAAGGCGGGCACCCCAGGGGCTGCCCAGCTGACCTTCATCTACTCCCTGGTGGCCTTCGTCAATGCCCTCACCAACAGCGTGCTGCCCTCCGTTCAAACCTACTCGTGCCTGTCCTACGGGCCTGTCGCCTACCACCTGTCTGCCACGCTCAGCTCCATGGCCAACCCGCTCGCCTGCTTCCTCTCCATGTTCCTGCCTAGCAGGTGAGTCCCCCAACCCAGCTGGCCCTGGGGAGTCCCACCTATCAGGCTAGGCTCCCTGTGCAGTAACTGAGATCATGTCCTCTGTGGCACCTGCTGCTGCTGGGATTCAAACCCCGACTCTTCTACTCACCAGCTGCATGATGCTGCTGGATAAGCCACTTTACTTCTCAGGGCTTCCGGCATGTGTCAGTGTAACGGTAGGGTGACAGCAACTCGGCCAGGGCATGGTGGCTGGCCTCAGCTGGGCCCATCCTCCCAAGCTCTCCCAGGGGTGCTGGGCACAGGGCAGGTCCAATACCAGGGTCAGTGGCATCTTATCAGCTCTAGGGCACCAAGACTTCAAGAAAGGGCTTCAGCTGGCCCCCCCACCCTTGGGGTTTCCACTTCCCCTCTCCCCCATCATCCCCACTGTCTTTGAACAATGGGACAAATGGATAGGACACACCTCAAGCCAGGCACCACTGTGCCCTGGGCTGTGAGCAACCCATTGGCCACCTCTCTGGCTGCCTCACTCCACCCAGGAGGGACTGTGCTGGCAGGAGAGGAAGACAGAAAAATGCCAGCTGACCACAAAGCCTGGACCACCTCCCCTGGGGCTCAGAAAGCATGGAGAGAAGGCCAGTAGGGGGAGGGACAGGACCAAAAGTCAAGGCCTTTTGGAGTTGGAAAAGTCCAAAATGTTACATTTCACCCAGGGCATAGGCCAGCAAGGGGACTTCAGCACTGAGATTCCCCCAGGACAAGGGGAACCTCTCCCTACCCACCCAGGAATGGCCAGTGTCCTCAGTCACCAGACCTGGGTCCCCCTGGCCACCTGGACAGAGTCCCTTTGCCCCTGAGCTTGTCCCCCAGGGCATCCTTCTCATGAAGTTGCCTTCTCATGGCCCAGCTGAGGAGTGGGGAGGGGGCACAGCAGGTGAGACCTGGTACCCAGGAGGGAGTGGGGATCAGGCAGGCTGTGCCACTGTAAACTCATTTTGCACGGGAGGAAGCTGGGGCTCACAGCTTCAGTGCCTGGACTGGGATTTGAACCTGGGTCTCTGACACCAGAATCTGTCTTCCTGCTGGGAGATGGAACCCTGCTCTTAACCTCCAGAAGGGCCAGCCATGCTCTGAGGAGCCTCAGCAATGCACTCAAGCCATCTCGCCTAGGATTTTTCCACAAGTTCTAACCTTGACCTCGAGGATGCTGACCATTTCCTGTGACCCGCCAATGCAGAGCTCTTCCCCTGACTTGCCCCCATTGTGCCACCCTAGGTCTCTGCTGTGCCTGGGGCTCCTGGCGGTGCTGGGGACTGGATTTGGTGCCTACAACATGGCCATGGCTGTGATGAGTCCCTGTCCCCTCATGCAGGGCCACTGGGGAGGGGAAGTCCTCATTGTGAGTATCTGGGCCAACTCCCTCCCATCCCTGGGTGTCCAGGTGCCGACCCTGTCGGGAGGGGGAGGTCATCCCTTGAGCTCTCCTCGCCCGCCTGACTATGCCATCTCTGCCCTCCCCTTCCTGCCGCACCACCCTGCAGGTGGCCTCGTGGGTGCTCTTCACCGGCTGTCTCAGCTACGTCAAGGTGATGTTGGGCGTGATCCTGCGCGACCGCAGCCGCAGCGCCCTCGTGTGGTGTGGGGCGGCGGTGCAGCTGGGCTCGCTGCTCGGAGCGCTCCTCATGTTCCCGCTGGTCAATGTCCTGAGGCTCTTCTCGTCCGCTGACCCCTGCAGCCTGCAATGTTCGGCCTAGACCGGCCTGGGAGGACTCGACAGTCCTGGGGCGCCGGCCCCACCCCAATCTCCCACCGCCAGGAAACTGTGGCCAAGGTCACAGAGCAGGTGTCGGAGAGCCAAGAGGCAGCCCTCTGGCACTTGTGCTCCAAACCAAAGTCCGATCGGACCGTGGAAACCATGAGCCTCCCCCACCTCTGTTCCCGTCACTCCTTGGACTTATGAGAGGGAACTGGTTTACAGCAGCCATCTGGGGCCTGGCGCAGGAGTATGGGAAGGGAAATAGCTGGGAGGCAGAGCTGACCAGCAAGTGCCATAGCTTCTGTATGCCTCTGTCTGCTCCTCCATGAAGTGGAATTATAAAAACAAGTAACCTGCTATGTAACAGAGGCGAAGAAGGGAGCAGCGCCCAGCACCTCCTGGGAGCAGATGTCAGCAGCACCCTGACATGGCCAGACCTGCCCCCTCTGCCCCGAGCTACCCACCAGCAGTTCCTACAAGGAGTGAGTGATAGTTGGGAAGGGCCCTCCCTGGCCCATGCCGCCCTGCTGCTGGGGGACAGTGTGTCCCGCTGGGAGGTGAAGAGACATGGATGCCAACTCCCCACCCACAGCAGACTGGATGCTGGGAGCTGCGGGGCAGTTCTCCTGGGCAGAGGAAATATAACTGTCATTTTGTTTGCCTTTTCAATTTTTTTTAAGTAATAATAATAAAGACATCCCCTGTTTTTATCCTCAGAACAGCCCTCAAGGGAGTACAGTGGAAACCCGCCCCTCCCAAATGTATCAGGACCATCAGTTTAGTCGTGCCAAGGTCAAGGCTGACAGCTGAACAGGGTCAAGTGTGGAGCGAGTGCCTGGCCCAGGGACTTCCTCCTGTGGTGGATTGTTTTGCACACCTACTACCACTGTTGTTCCCCCCCCACACACACACACACCTTTGATTTATTTTAGATGAGTATTACAATCGCAGGTGTCAAAAGTCAAGAAATATACAGTGCTGTAAGGAAAAGCATCTCTGTCTGCCTTCTGCCTTCTAGTTCCTCTTAGCGGTGTTTGCAGGTCTTTGCCGCTGGGAGGGTGTGGAATGCAAGGAGAGGCAGACACATGGTCTCTCCTCTCAGACCCCTGCCCGTGGTGAACTACCCAGCACGTGGGGCTTTGGCTCACCAAGGCACTGCTCCGTCTGGGCCATGGCTCCATAGTGCTCCATGGTGTGCCTTGCCCTGTTTATCTCACCAGCCGCATTAGCCCACTTTGGGTTACTGTGATGCAAGTCGCTGGTTGCTACCTGTGGCAGCTCAAGTTTGTAAAGAGAACAGAGATTGCTTTTGGCTCACTGTTTTGAGGTCAAAATTCAGACAACATGATGCGTGCTTTGGCTCTGGCAAGGGACGTGGCAGGTGGCAGAGCGTGTGTAGGAGGATCACATGGCCTTCCAGGAAGCTGCCAAAGTGGTCAGACCCAGGCTGCATGCAGCTTGTCTACCAAACCTAAAAGAGCTGGCTTCTAGGACACGCCCCTCCAACCACTTAAGCACCTCCTACTGGACTCCACCACTTCCCAAAGCACCACACTGGGGGCAGTGGGGGAAGGGGGAGAGAAGGGAGGGATCGGTGGAGACCAAGCCTGGTGTTGAGGGGAGGCACATTCAGCGCCAAAGCTGCCACCCCAGTCCAAGCATAGGCTGCATAGATGCATTTGAAAGGATTGCAGGTGCAGGACAAAATTAAATACTTTCACCCAAGTAAAGGCAAGAACAGCTTTATTCCTGAGTCATCGTTAAAGCAGACTGCCGTGTGCATCTGGGAAACCTGGGGAAGAGCTACAGAGGCAGAGAAAAGCGTGTCCTGGTGCGGCCGGCAGGTGCAGCTCTTAAGTGCTGGCTGTCCTCACCATGATGGGACATGTGACTCAACCAAGACTCAGCCAGTCCCAGGAGTGGCCCTCAGTGGCCAGCCCCCAGATGGCCCCTCCGCACAGGAAGCCTCAGCAGGCCCTGCAGTCAGGCAGCTCCCTCCCTCCCCCCATCCTCCACCAGGTGTCTTCCTTCAAGTCAACATTCCAGAGAGGTGACTCCCAGGTCCCCAAGGTCAACACCCCTGGGAGGTAAAACTGGCAAAAGAAAAATTCATCTCTGCCTTAAAGGGACAGAGAAACGCATAAGCAAATGTCCTCAAGGAAGATGTACCTTTTAAATTTGTATTTACCGTTTACAGGAACACTTTCAACTGTTCCCTCCCCAGGAATGTTGGGACAGAATAGAATCAGGGGGACAGTTTGTCTGTACTGAAGTGGGAAGATACTGCAAGATTCACTACACACATACGCACACACACACACATACACACACACACAGTTACGCCTGCCCACACGTACACACACCTACAACACACATGCACAGGTACATACATGTGTGTACCCGCACACCCACACCTGCAGACACACACACAGGAAGTAGACACAGAAGAGCAGTGTGGTGCCACTCATGCTGTCACGGGCCGGGTGGGGGTGCATGGCGGACAAGGGACAAGGACCTTCGTGGGATGACTTCTACTGTTTCACTTTTGCTCACTGTTCTTAGACATCTTCAGCCATCAAGGTCAAGTGCACAAGTCAGTTGACCTCGACCTCCCCCTCAGGACATGGGGCTGCTATAGGGCTGCTATGGGATTGTCCTAGGACCAGTTGAGTTGGTACATGCAGGATGCTTTGCGCTGCACCTGCGAACAGACGTTGCTCAATAATTGGCACTAAAAGCCATCGGAATAGCCTTCCATTCACCCAGGCCAGCAGCCAGGAGCTGAGTATAGACGCATGCGGGGCGTGGAAGGGTGTGGAGATGGCTGCTAAGATTTGAAGCTGCCCACCCATGCCTTAAAGCAAGACTTGGGGGGAGGGAGGGCGTCGGCTCCCAGGACACACAGTCTCTGGCCCTGTCACTGAGCAGTTCCCTGGGAGCCACTGACAACCGGGGAAGGGCCCAGGCACTGTGGCTTCCTGGGGACTTGGCCTGGGCAGAGCTGCTTCGGGTTTACACATGCACAGTCTACCTGCCCAGGACTCCTGGAGCCAGGCCCAGCTTCGGCCCTGCCCTGTTCTCCCTGGCCAAGGAGAGATCATAGTCACAGGGGTTGACTCACACCTCAAGCCATGTGTTCTGCTTCTCCCCACCAAACCTGCCTCCCTACCCCCATCTCCCCACCCCTGCACAGGTCCGGCTCTGCACGTGACGCAGGAAGTAATGATCCTTGCTCTCCACATCTCTGAGCTCAACCAGGAAGAAGCTGAGTCTGGAGGGTTCTAGAACTCCAGAGCTCAGCACCGAGCCACACCCTGAGAAGACCTTGACAAGCATTACTGGCAGACTGGGCACCCCTCATTGCTGTGAGCACGCTCCCCAGGGACAGTTGTGTGGAGCAAGGGGTCCAGATGCCACCTGGAGTGCCTGGCTTCACATCCTGCTTCCACTTGCCACCCAGCTGCCTGCTAATGCCCACCCTGCAAGGCAGCAGGGGATGGCTCAAGTAGCTAGACCCCCACCAGCCATGTGGAGACCTGGATGGAGTTCCTGGCCCAGTTCTGGCTTTGGCGGGTATTTGGAGAGTGAGTCAGGACACCAGTGGATGGAAGATCTCTCTGTCTTTATGTAACTGCACGTTTGGCAAAAAGGACTCTGCAGCCGGAATGAAGGGTCCAGGCTCACACGAGGTGATAACATGGAGTTAACATGAGCATAAAAGCAGAGACTCAACAGAAGAGCCAACAAAGGGGGGGAAGGGGAACAGGGAGGGCAAGTCGGGGCTGAGGACAGGAACACCTGAGGGAGTCAGGAAGAAAAACCAAGAGAGCTAGGGCCCTGGCAGTCAGGCGTGGCCCCAGGGGCAGTCGGCCGGGGACGGGGACGGGCAAAGCAGGAAATCTTGCACAACCCTGGCAGTGCCAGAGGCCCCATCTCCGCAGCATCCCAGCCAGGCTCCCCTTCTGATGGCAGCCCCGCAAGACCCCATAGGAGACAGGAGGTCAGCAGTGTGTCCAAGCTACAAGCAGCCCCTAGAGCAGCCCAGAGTTGAGACCACATTTTTCTGCACCTTCCATGTGACTAGGAATGACGGCATGACTGTTTAGACTGATCAAGAATAATGTGTGCAACTTCTAGGAGCAAGCTCTTCACTTCCCATTCCTCTCTTCCTGCTGCCAGGCGTGCAGATGTGATGGCTGGATCCGGAGCAGCTGGTATGGGCCATGAGACCATGAGGAAGAAGCTTTGGCATGCCTAGCTATGCGCACACACATACAGTCTCAGAATGTTGTTACTACAACGTGTGTGTGTGCCAAAATGTTAGCCTAGTTAATGCTGGGGGAGGAGAGAAGTTTCAGGTGATTTTTTTCCTCCTCCTTGACACTTTGCTATACTCCAGCTTTTTCTTTGAACCTGTGATTGAACCTAAAGAAAGGAAAATGCTATAAATAGATCCTATTGTTGCACTTTCACTGGCTTCTGCTGAGCCTGCAGAGGTCTCTCTCACACACACAGACACACTTGGAGGTTCTGGGATATTTGGCAGTGTTTCCTGTGGGTTACAGAACATTTTCCTTGGATGTTCTGTTTTGCTGAACCCCAGGCCGTGAAGGCAGTTCCCTGCCCTACGTGCCTGCTGACCTCCTTTTGTGTCACCAGCAGAGGCCTGGGCTGACCAAGTGGCCCGTGGGCCTGGACGTCAACGTGGTGTGATCCTCCTTGTTCCCCACGCGAGGATCCAAGGTCCACCAGCGTGGGTTCCCAGTGGGCTCCCAGTGCCCGGGCATAGGACACCAGGCAGCTGATGTCACTTCCAAGACACCTCCCCTCACTGGAAACAGAGGCATGGACAGAGCCAGGCCCAGAACATGGCTGTGAGGACAGCAATCAGACGTGAGCCCACACAGAAAACCAGCTCTCTGGAGCCAGCTGCAGCTGTCTCTGCGGCGCGCAGGCCTCTCCCTGGGGCGGCATCTCAGGCCCTGGGAGGGAACGAGA